GCCATCCCCATCCCCATTGAGCAACCCACTGCATAGAATATGGGAATGATCCCGAGTTTGCGAGCCAAGTCAGGGATCCAAAACCAGATATCATAAAAACCCACATCAGGTTTTACAACCTTGAAGATGGATTCAACTTGATCTCTGGTTTGGTCAACGGAAAAAGCAAGGTACTTTTGTTGGTTCATAGGAACAACAGATGTGGTTTCAGCACCTGGAGAGAGGCCATCCACTTGAGGAAGAAGGAGAGGAAAGAATTGAATCAGGTTGGGGAATTGGTTCATGTTTTCAAGCTTTGATTCAACTCCTTTAGGCAAAAGGTAGGATATTTTATGGCCTTTCTGAGCCAGCTTATTTGAGAGATGAAGGAAGGGGATGAAGTGACCATAGGCAACCCATGGAAACACGGCCACCTCAAGCTTTGAAAATTCACATTTCCTCATCTTTTGTTGATACACGATGGGTGATCCCACAGGCTAAAACCTGGCCTAATTTATATGCCCCAACTCTTAAATTGCACCATTTATACTCAAATTAAAAATTGTATATACGTGATTAAAGTTAAAATTAAATTAGATAATTAACTAATAATGTCCTTATTTTATTTATTAAATCTTAAATGATAAATTTAATTAATAATTTATTATTATTTTTATTGAATTGCCAACAACAATTTTCATAATTAATTTATTATAATTTTTTTATTTGTCAATGATAACTTTGTTAATGATAAATTATTATTTTTTAATAATTTGAGGTGATTACAATATAGTAATCGCTTAAATTCATAATTTCTAGAGAAAAATAACTATCTTTATAATCACTTAGACGACTTGATGTGTTCATAAATTGATTTTTTAATAGTCTAGGGTGATTACAAAGGTAATATCTATTTATAATATTTCTTAATTATTAACAACGCACACACACCATACAGATGCAACAACTCAAACTTATAATTTTTAGAGAAAGCAACACTCCATCTAACCATTTTAGTTCCTTAATGGATACATAAATAAATATTTATTTTAAAAAATTAATGTATTGCTAAATTGATTGATTAATGAATGACATCAAAGTTCATTATAACTTTAATTATTAGGTATAAAAACCTAAAGTATTAATGAACCAAGTTGAAATTTGTTGTTTTCACACCTAAAACCTAGGAAGTTGTGAATTTGAACCACCCAAATTTTGGAGTGGACCACGCGAATATGAAGTGAAGAAGAGGACCCGACTCCAGTTAGGGTAAATAAAAGTATATATATATATATGCTATTGTATTATGAGTTAATCTATAATTGAGTTATTATAATTTAAAAAGTTATAATTGAGTTATCTTATTTATTGGTATATATAATTATGTCACTTTATCGTTAATTGTATAATATATTAATATTTTATTTATATTTTGATCATTCAACTATAAGTATACATTGTGATATTTTTTTATTAGAAAAGAAGATGTAATACAAATTAAGCATTGAATTGTTCATGTCTAGAAGGGTTGTCAGGAATTATTCTTCGTAAATAGGTTTACCACTATTATTTTGATTATCAATTTTTGTATGTGAAACATTATTTTGTATCTAATTGCTTATCGTTTAGTACAAAATCAATTCTCCATTGTCTTGGTTTTCTTCTTGAACAAATTTTTCTGATGCTTTATTCTTCATGAATGTATAAAAAATTATTGAGAACATCTCTAAACCAACTTATCATAAGATCAAATCACTTATTCTTCAAAGTGTTGTTAGTATTTTGTTATTTATCTATAGGTGAAAATTAGAGATGTTCATAGGTTCCACCGTGTCAAATTTGAACTAGACAAGCTTATATTTATAAATGACTGATCTAAGATTATTTTCAATCCATTCATATTATTATTTTAAATTATTTTAAAAAATATTTATTCTATTCTATTTTAATTTAATACCTAATATTTTATATAACTTCTCTTCATTATATTTATTTATTTATTTATTATTCTTTTATGCACTAGCCTGAAATTTATTTTTTAGTTCATGGGTTATAGTATAAAGGATAAGCTATGTATTTAGTCACTCATCTATTAATGAGGTTTTATATATTTTATATCCAATTATTTTTTTTCAAAATCATATCTAACATTAAGTTTTTGTCACTTACCGTTAAAAAATAAACAAAATTATTGATGTATCACCATAAGATAATGTTACATTATCATTGAAAAATAAAAATATTATCACGTCAACAGTTCTGTTTAATCTTTTAATGATGAGTGACCAAAACAGAATAACAAAAATAAGTGGATCACTATATAGGTACTTTACCCTAGTATGAAATATGATTATAATGAAATATAACCATAAAAGTCCAAGTGGGGCATGTACGTAATCTGAGAGACCACGTAACCCAAGTTTAAGGCTTAGTTTATTTTCATTGTACAACCTCTTATGTCTGCGTCGCGCAGGCCACGTACAGACATTAAGCTTCGCAGACCGTTTATTTTTTAGAAGACAGAAGTTCTTCAAACGTCTGCGCGAGCTCTTCTTGGTGCAGAGATGGTTTTATGTCTTCAAAGGTCTACGGGAAAATTAAAATCATTTAAATATATTTTAAAATTTATTTTAAAATATAGATTGATTTATTTTAAAATATGAATTGATTTATTTTAAAATATTGATTTATTTATTTTAAATTATGGAAAAATTTATTTTAAAATATGAATTAATTTATTTTAAAATATGGATTGATTTATTTTAAAATATGAAAAATTTTATTTTAAAATATGGATTGGTTTATTTTAAAATATGGATTGATTTATTTTAAAATATGAAAAAATATTTTAAAATATGAATTGATTTATTTTAAAATATGGAAAAATTTATTTTAAAATATGGATTGATTTATTTTAAAATATGGAAAAAGTTATTTTAAAATATAGATTGATTTATTTTAAAGAGAAAATAACTTCAGTGACCAAAAATCCCAGATAATATACGGTTTTGACCAACTTTTTTTGGATTTGCGAAAATGACCAACAAAATCGCAATGCGATCTCTAATTCGCATTGCGATCTCCACTATCGCAAATTCGCGTTGCATTTCGCGTTGCGATAGTTGAAAATCGCGTTGCGATTTTCCATTTCGCGTTGCTATAGTTAAAAATCGCGTTGCGATAGTCTACAATGTCGTTGCGATTTTCCAAATTCGTTGCGGTAGTCTACAGTTGTTGTTGCGAAAGTTTACAGTTGTCGTTGCGATTTTCCAAATTCGTTGCGATAGTTAAAAAAAAAGATTTTGTTTCTTAAGAATTTTCTCTAAAAAGATAGTATCCGCGCAGACATGTCGAAGACACGTATTACCACGACCACGACCACGACCACGACCACGACCCGAAACGAGACGGACGGCGGCGGCGGCGCGCGAGAGTCCCCCTTGTTCTCTATCACTCAACAAGGAAGTGAGAAAGCCAAGCCTTAAATATCATTCCCAATAGTGTTTCCAATACTATGTGGGATTTGAGCATTACCAACACTTGTTCCCAATACTATGTGGGATTGAGCCTTAAATAGTGATATTATTTTTGAATGTTTTGCTTAAAATTGCAATAATCACGATTGATTGTAGATTGACTTTTAATTATGACATATTTAATCGTATAATACTAATGCAATTGGTTGCTGATTCAGTTGTTTTAAGGTGCATGATTGTTAATTGTTTCCTGAATAATCACATTGTATTGGAAACAAGTGTTGGTAATGCTCAATCCCACATAGTATTGGAAACACTATTGAGAATGGTATTTAAGGCTTGGCTTTCCCACTTCCTTGTTGAGTGATAGAGAACAAGGGGACTCTCGCGCGCCGCCGCCGTCGTCCGTCTCGGGTCGGGTCGTGGTCGTGGTCGTACGTGTCTTCGACACGTCCGCGCGGATACTATCTTTTTAGAGAAAATTCTTAAGAAACAAAATCTTTTTTTTACCTATCGCAACGAATTTGGAAAATCGCAACGACAACTGTAGACTATCGCAACGCGAAATGAAAAATCGCAACGCGATTTTCAACTATCGCAACGCGAAATGGAAAATCGCAATGCGATTTTTGGTCACTGAGGTTATTTTCTCTATTTCAACTATCGCAAATCCAAAAAAAGTTGATCAAAATCGTATATTATCTGGGATTTTTGGTCACTGATGTTATTTTCTCTATTTTAAAATATGGAAAAAGTTATTTTAAAATATAGATTGATTTATTTTAAAATATAGATTGATTTATTTTAAAATATGGTTTGATTTATTTTAAAAAAAATTTATTATTGTAGTTGTATGGATTATTTAAATTTCAGTATTATAAAACTAAAATTATTTAAATTTCAGTATTGCAAAACTCTTTTAAGTTTAAAAAATCAATTTATTTTATATTTCAGTTTATTTTAGCAGTCTGCATAAGTTAAAAAATAAACAGTCTTCTTCTTGCAGACTGCAGACTTTTGATCCACCTCTTCTGCTACAGATGTCTACAGATGTGGTCCGCAGACTGTAGACCTTTTACCTCTTCAAAAACAAACACCACCTAAGACTAATAAGTTGCGGTTGTATCGGCAGAGTTATTGGGCTTGCTTGCCTTGCATGTCACCTCTCTTTCTCAGACAATTTATTAAACACCTAATGACCTACCCACTTAATGAGAACGACACTACACTATTAAAATTATATAATTTTAAATTAAACTTATTAAATACGAATTCAGCCCAAATTTATAGAAGTTTTATCTAAAATCCGACGTGAATGAATCTAGTCCCTTTTGATTCTTTTACAAAATCGTTAAAAAAACCATGTGATGCTTGAGTTACACATGTTGAGAAAGAAGCAGTCAGGCAGTTCATCTAATGCTATCAACAATTTAGTTCCAATCTTCACTTAGATTTTGATTAAACAATCGATTCAAGAAATTAAATTTCAAGATCCTTAAAGCTTTTAAAAAATGTAAAAATAAATACATAATTTTTTTTCTTGATATGCCATGTATAATCTATTTCAAGAAACTACATAATCATCAAACTTTAAGTACCACGTAAAACAAGTGGTCTTGATTCTCATTTCAAAAACTGGAAACCAGTCACATGATGACTGTCCAGTTCATAATCTTTTTTGCATAGAATAAGATATGTTGGCAAGAACATACAAGTAACAGAAAAACTTTTCCTAGAGCAAGGCAGAAAACAATATTCTAAATTATACCTTCCTTTATTTGGTTCTGAAGCCCTCCCTGATCTTCTCGGCTCTGTTCTGGGTTCCATCTCGTTATCGTCCGTTCTTCGACAGTGTAGTGCTCTAAACATGAAGGAGAGTTCGCACCTAGTCCATTGCTATTCACGATAACGATCAATAATGTTTTTGCAACACTTCCACAAAGGCGAACTGTACAATGAACATCTGACCACACTCTCAATCGACCATTTAGATCATTATCTCCTTCTGGTAGTGCCAGCACTGCATACTCGGAATGGACAAGAGCCGGGTGGTGACGGTAGGCAACAAAGTCCACACCATACTGCAATCCTAGTTTTACAATCCAATTTTTATGCCGAAGATGAGAATAAGCCTTGTAATGAATAGGAAACACAGGCTTTTTTGATTTGAAGTACTCCCACAACTCTTCATTACTTTTTGTGGATCCATCTTCACCCATGACTTTGAGGCATTTTAGTGAAAAGCACAAATAAAAGGTTTCCTCCATATCCAGTTGAAACCATTGTTTGTCCTTTTCTGATGTAATTCTTGGTCGACCAAAACATGCACGGTTGAGAAGATCAGCTAATTCAGCATCTACTTCAACGAGTACACTGCAGCTCGAGAGCAAACCACAAGTCTCGGTTTGGATCAAAGAGGAATGGAGTTGTGAGACAATTTTAGACATGGGATCAGAACTAGCTTTGGCTTCTGAGCCTTTACCTTTCCATCTAGGCTTCATTTAGTCCTTCAATATATAGAGAAAAAACATAAAATAATTAGGATTCATGCTCACTTAAACCTTATTTCTTTTTTATTATGGGTAAATTTGGAAACACAATGAACTAAATAAGAAAGTTTCTCTCCGATATTGCTCTGACTCCTTAATTCTTCTTTATGTGCTTGTGTTCAATGCATATCTGAGATGGATACATGAATATGACCGAGCCTTGATATGCGTAGGTAAGCTTACAAGTATTGAAAGGAGAGACTGAAGAATAAAACTTAGGGCTGAACGACTTCCTGTTATTGATTGGTATCTGTATGGAGCAGTGCAGAGGAGTTCAAGCAGGGATTTATTTGGTCTAGTGTTTTTGGCAAGCAATAAAAAGGCTAACATAATCCTCATCAGCAAGGAAATCAAGCCACTTCAAGGGTACAAGCTCGTATACTAGGTTTACGGTTTGTATTTGCCAAACCGTGTAAGAATGTCAATCACTACACTGGATAAACCCTGGTAAAAATGGCAAAATGTCATTCAAGGAAGGGAAGTGGTAGGGTGGAAACTTGCTCTAGCCATGCAAGACACTGGAGCACCGCTTCAAGAGGTGAAGATTTATCACTGTCAATTGCAATTCGTGACCTTGAATAAGTCTAGAGCTTTGGCGTGGGCAGCATTCTTACGCTGTTTTAATACTAATTGGCCCTAGTTGTTTCTCAGCTTGTATTCAGTACCAAAAAAAAAACACAATGTCTGACACATGGGTGTAAGTGATCTGGCTAATAGCTAATGTTATATTTATAAAATGCACTTCAATTGAGGACATTATTTTGTTATGTTATATTTATAAAATTATTTCATACAAAATGTATTATATTTTTCTGTGTATAATTATATGGCATATGAATAAATGATGAGAGTGGAAGCTGATGCGGTTCTGATTCCGCTCTAATGGATGGGTGAGACAGGGGAAAGTGTGGGCAAAGTGTGAAAAGGAATAAAAAATTGGATATTCCCCCCCTCACTCCGACTTCTGAGTAGTGGTAATTAATGAGGATTTTCTGTGTATTATATTAGCTTTGTTGCTATTTCCAGAGCTTATAATAACTTTTTTGATCCAATGATCATAAACATTCAACCTCTTATTTGGTGTGAATGAAGGCAACAATCAAACAATTTGATTCGATTTATTTGCCACGTGTTAGTCTTCCTTGTATATTACTGTAACCAGTGATCAGTGACTTCTCTTTTATGATGTGGGACATTAAAGTTAATATAGGTATAGCTAATTGAGTGCTGGGTAGATCCCTCGGTCTTCGATTTCATGTTTCATTTCCTTCTTGCGGAAAGGCTCCTATCTTTTCCCCCAAGTAGTTTAAGTTGTTTCTGGAAGTATTTAATGTGATGTTTATTTTAAATTTCTAAGCTTATTATTTTAAACAAGCATTTGTCTTACCTGGAGTATGATTCTAGTTCTGTTTTGACTTAGGTACTAACTGCCGTACAAACTCATTTTGTAGAAGAAGAAAAGAACCCTACAGTGTTCTCTCGGGGTAGAACTTGGCTTCTTATAGAAGTGTGTTGATTTTATCTCAATTGTACTCACTTATTGCCAGTTGATATATGAAATAGTGCTTTTCGATGGTCTTTTTCATTAGATGCAGTTCAATTATAAGGTTTGCTGAGCAGAGCATGGATCCAGAAGAAAGAGCAACTGTTCAGTCCTCGGCCTATGGAGGTGATGTTTCTTCTCTAGCTACCTTAACCATTGTTTCTCTAACTCGGTTTTCTTAATTATGTATATAGGTTGTCATATGGTTTCTTGCAAGACGGTCTCACGCATATCTAACGCCTCTTGAAGAAACAAATTGCCTTAGTAATGACTATCAGCAGCAGCAGCAGCCAATGAAAAAGCTTTAGTTGTATATTTTATATTCCTATTTAATTGATGAATGTGGTGTTATATATACTCTTAAGAATCTCTCTGATCTCGGTACCCATATTTATGTTCATATCAGTAGTGTTTTTCCCATCAAAATATTAAGTAACTAATGTTTAAACTTAGGTAGCCCCTGCATTATTTATGTTAAGCTCTTAGCTTAACTTGTCACAGCTCAAAGGGATGCGATTTATGTCGACAAATCATTACAAGGTCAGTGTTTCCAGTTGAAGTGCTATATTTCTCTTAATCATTTGTGTTCATTTAAAAACCAGAAGAAATCAAACCAAACAGATAGAAGTTCCAGTTCAATAAACAATGCATCGGTTCATAAACGAAGAAGAAAAGGTTCACATCTATGAAAACATACCTGGTTTTTCAATGAAGATTTCCTTAGATTTTGAATGGGTTTAACTGCTGCACTCAAGTGAGCTCAAATTTGGGTGCATTGAAAAATAGTTGCATCTCAATTAGTCCCACGAACCCGTAACTAAAACACATTAATAACGCAATCCAGCTTAAACATAGAGGTTCTCATGAACTTCTAATTTTCTAATCTTCCACAAATTTGACTTGGTCTTAGTAAACAAAAAAAACACACCAAACGACAGTGCACAAAATAAAATCTTAACGTGGAACACTAAAAGTTGGAATTAAATATAAAAAATGTACCACCAAGAGAACATTGGATGAGTCCGCGCTTATGATTTGACAGAGAGAGGAGTCGTAAAAGAAGAAATTGAGGTGCATGACATTGTTTTTGGGTTCCAATTAGAACAGCTTGAAAAAGTTTCAACGTCGAGTTTAATTTCGAAGCTGGGTTTCAAATCTCTATTCAAAGCTGATTCCATTGCATTCAGATCATTGATGGCTTTTATAGTTTTCTAAAAGGAAAGGAAAGAAAAACAAACCTACAGACACAGGGAAGATGAACGGAAAATATATTTACCTGAGATTTTGTCATCGGCGATAGACTATTTATATGCTTTGAAATAAAAATCAGAAAATGTCTTATCGAATTCAAAAAACCTAACTGAATTCAATTCAGTTTATTGAACACCTTATTAGGAATACTATATAATTCTTAAAACTACACTCATCAAATAAAATATAAATGTTAATTTTTTATAATAAAAATAATTTATTAATAACAAACACGAATCTAATCATAAAATTTATTCATAAAACTAACAATTGGCACAGGGGATGAGAGTTAAAACGCTATTCCTTTATAATGTCGGGAGTCAAATTTCGATTTTTGTACCCGTAATAAATTAAATTGATAGAGTCACCCTCATGTTCGCCTTTCAATTATCTTATCAGAAATAATTGATAATAAATCAAATACTTATAATTATATTAAAAACACTATCTTTGAAGCTGGGCGTTTTTCCTGAAATTCACCTATACCATACAATTTTCTATGTTAGACACCCTTCAGACTATTTTTCCCGATCTAACACCCTTTGCAGTAAGACGCGCCCCCTGCAGCGCGCTTTACGCTGATATGGCGCCACATGGGGTAAGGCGCGGGGCAGGAGCCACGCTTTACCTTTAAAGCTGACACACGTCAGAAAGGTGCGCCCCCTGCAGCGCCTTAGGTTTAATTACCCACCTACCCCAGTCGTTCACACCCACCCCTATAAATACCCCCATTCTCAATCACTTTCATCACACCAAATCCTCTCAACTTCTTTCAAATACTCTTATATTCTATTTAACTGTTTAAGTATATTATTATATTAATATTTTATTTTTAATTTATTTAAGTATTTAAAGTTTTAATATTTATTTAATTAATTTTTTTGCAGATATAAAATGGAAGGATGTTACTTCGCTTGGATGAAAATCATATCGCTACTTTTGCTGATACGGTAACATTTAACGTTTTAATATAATTTAAATTATTAGTAATAATTTATTTTAATGCATGATTATTAGTTTAAAAATTAATTTTTGTAATTATTTAATTTTAGGAGAGGGACCGTGTATTAGATCCTTTATTAGGAACCTTAAGTTAGTGATACCTAGCCGTGTCTTGCCGTATTTAGTAGAGGCTGGATTCGATCACATATGTAGATATGAGGGTCACTGTGAGATAGAACCAAACCTTTTTCTACCTTAGTGGAGCGTCGAGGCCGGAGACCCATACATTCATCTTCTGTGCAGAGAGTGCACAATTACACTTGAGGATGTTTCTATGCACCTAGGGCTTCCGGTGGATGGAGATGTGATATCGGGGATGGCGCACGGTTCATAGACTGCTTTGTACCGGGACTATCTAGGAAGTGTCCCGGAAAGTTTTAACGGTGGTCGGATACTGTTAAATTGGTTAGATGCCGATTTTCAGGAGTTAAGCGAGGACACCTCTGATGATGAAGTTAAAATGTATGCACGGGCATGCATACTGCAGCTGATAGGAGGGTTGATATCAGACAAATCGCACAACCAAGTTCATGTATGTGGTTGCGATATCTTGGCGACTTTCATCTAGTCGGATCACTCAGTTGGGGCTCGGCAGTTTTGGCTTTCTTGTATAGGGAGATGTGTCGAGCCACTGACTACAAGAAAAATGTTATCGGCGGATGTCTCCTGCTGCTGCAGTCTTGGGCATGGTATCGATTGCCCTTTTTATGTCCCGTTGTCAAGAACCCATTTGTATTTCTGCTACTATTGAGGTAATTATAAAACTGATTTCGTATATTAATCATTTATACAATGTATAATAAATTTTGTTATCCTTGAATAAGCGGTCTACTGATAGGAAAAATCATTAGGAGCTACCTGATGATTTAGAAATAATCGATCAGAAGGTTGGCACACATGTATGCATTTTAATGTTTAAAAATTGATTTTAGATTATAGTTGTATAATTAGATTATTATTTTGATAAAAATTATATATATTTGTTTTAGTTTGAATGGGCGTCATATTCTAATGATGATGTGAGGATGGTGATCCCACCTAAGTTGAGGGGCCCATTAGATGTTTGTATGGCGATGATCCATTTGATCTGTTATGCGATCGTCAAGTGGCACTCTACTGATCGCGTGCTCCGGCAATTTGGTTGTTTTCAACCAATTCCGGAAGCATATCGCAATATGGACGAGTTGCATAGCATAGATAGACGCGGAAAGACCGATACAGATTGGCTGGTGAGGCATCATGAGTGGGTCGTGCTGTGGGAGGATCGAAATCGGTACCTTCCCCTTAGAGAGCCCATTTTTACTGACCTCTTAATGGTTGCTGACGGTTATTATGAGTGGTTCAACAGTAACGGGAAATCGTTTTACTTCTAAGGATGCACGAGTGCGGACCTTTCAACGACGTCGACAGAGACGTTCACCGACACAGCATCATCGTATCCCAACTCGTGGACGGAGAGCAGGTACTTTCGGTTCATCCTCAGCTGCACCAGCAGGACCTTCACAACAGCCACCGTCTACAACGAATTACATACCGCAGTTATATGTGATGCCGCCACCGTCGTTCACTTACCCGATGCTGCCACCGCCACCGTCACCTAGTTTTATGATCCCCCGTCGCCGTCATAGAGTTTTATGA